CCTCGATAGCTAGAGTAATTCGCGCTTCTTGAGTTTGAATTTCCATGGTAAATAGTTGAAGAAAACGTGTGTTGAAGTTTAAGGAGGTAGTGCCAAGGAAAAGTGATCGACTCGCTGATATGATCGACTCGCTGATATGATCGACTCGCTGATAAACCACGTTATCTACTTTAAGTATATAAGTACACGAGTATTACCCGATCTCTGTAAGGACGGAAAAGTTTTATACCGGTAAATATCGGATTTAAAATATAGATTCCTTACTTTATAAGTATTAGAAAGATATATTAAAAATACTAGTAGATTCGCGTTTAACTTATTTCCATTTTTACTACACCTAAGTTCTTTTTGCTTACGCTATAGTAAGTTATTTGTTAAGAGGTATACTATCCCTTCCAGACGCCAAAGTGCCACATGCAACGTGCACTCCAAAGTGGAGTAAAGGTGTCCACCTTTTCGACATTTTTTCCGCAAAGCAAAGTTGTTTAGCCAATTAGGCAGCCTTTCCAAGTATTTGAGCCTCAACTTGACCCAGTTATCGTAGCCACTCCAAGTGCACGTTGCATGTGGCACTTTGGCATCTGGAAGGGATAAAAACAAGTATGATTTTAGAGGAATAGATTACGAAGTTCTTTCCGTCCACGAAGAGCCCGATAATCTGGAAGGGATAGTAATTAAGACAGAACTGCTATTCTAGTTCTACTATTCTAGACAGTTACTTAGAAAGAAGGAAACAGCGCTAGGATATAAGGTAGGAACGGGAGTAGTAGCATAATGTTCTAGCTGGTTTAGGAACGGCTCCCGCCTTACTTAAGCAAAAACACCAAGATATTACGTCCTTAACACGTATACCTGCTGTACTAAGCTGTTTTATTTACTCCTTAAATTATTTGCTATAGCATTATTACGGATATAATAGTAAGGATGAGAGTATAAGGATGCTATACTAAGGATACGACAGTGAGGATGAGACATTAAGGACAAGACTTTCAGGATACGATAGTAAGTTTAGGTAACATATAGGAAACGGTAGACCTTTGTTATCAAAGACGTGTTCCTCTGTGTCCTATCTGCCCATGTCTGTTCATAGACATGGGATTTCTGGGATAGGTGGGGTTGCCGACTTTCTTGTGTCACCTACCCTTGAAAATTTCTTTGATGGGATAAGGGTGGGACCCTCGGAGGATTAGGGATTGGAATATAGGGTTGTTTAAATTTGTTTGTATTCGGGAGGGGCTAAGGTTCGTAAATTTGGTGCGGGTAGATAGTCGATTATACGTAACTGTCTGTCCTCGTGGGTTAAATACGTTTGATAGCATAACACCAAGACGTCTCACAGATTAAGGACTATATATTACCGCTAAGAAGATGCGGCCTAGGTATGTAATCTTGTGGTATTTCATCTATATTTAGTGGTTTCATATAAGGGTGTAAAGAGTTATTAGGGAGGTTTACAGGGGTAATACGTAAGCGGAGTTTACTAGAATTTATATCGTGTTTTATGATTAGTTTGAGAGAAACTTAGGCTCAACTTATTCAAATGCTACATTTGAATATGGCATTCCTTTCGCGAGAAGTCTTAAGTCTTACCAGAGAATATTACGTAATTCCAGAAGTGTAGCTGCGACCATTAACCTAGTATTATGTGGATATTCTCTGTTTGAGATGGATACCTTCCAATGCAGATTGTGGCAACTCAAGTGTGGGCCCAGAGATCACTACCGGTGGGATGGCATAGTAACCGGCATATAATGGGGAGAGAAAAAGACACGGACCATCCGATAGAATAGGGAGGACAACGCGCTAGTGGAGTTTCAATGATCATACTTCTACTTTACGACGATAACTCAGCTTATTTTGTACATGTCTGTCTGGATTCGTTATCATTTGCCTCACAGTCGGTTTCTTATTAGGATGGTGCAGGAGGCGAAGTGGCGTGTGACTAATTATGGAAGTGATGGTGTCCTAGTTAGCGTAACTGCTTTTCGTTGTTTTCCTCAGTTCTTTATTTTCAATCTGGTCAACTCCAATTTCCTTGAGGTCTCCAATTGCTGCAATATACAAAATGAACTAAGCAATGAAAAGTGGCGAAGAGTTGTGTGAATTAAATTAACTAATGGTTTTTTTCCTACAAAGCTTGGAAGAAGAGATGAACACTGAGGTTTCTTGATGGTAGGAGAATACGATAGGGTTAGGACAACACATAAGGCCGTAACAGAACTAGTTAAGACTTCAGAATCTCGCTTCACTTTATAGGCTGTTTTCTCTCAATCATAGGTGCTTAAGAAGCTCATCGCTGGCTCCACTGCTTTAGCGAATCCTAATTGTCTAACCACACAAAGAAGCTTTGTTGGCATAAAAATGATCTCATTTAATATATTATCTTTGCGAAGGAGATATTTTCGGATAGCATTGCTCGATCGGCTTTTGTATATATTTGACTTAACTAGATTTCACTGAGGTGCTCAATTTCATAGTAATCACGAATCATTAGCAGTAGTTCTATTAAGCTAGAACTTCTTTGTCGTTCGCCATGCGAAGTCTCGGGTAGTATTAATGGAGAAGGATATGATCTCTAACCTCTTATGCAGCTTATTAGAGATTCTAGATTAACACCTTATGTCTATTGCGTTGTCCTGAAATCTCGGATTCGTGATCCCTCGTCTTCGTTATTTGTATACGGTTTTAGCACGCCAAGTTATTCAAGAACACCTAAGAAAAATATACCAGTACTACTCAAGCAAACGTTGGGATGCTTATAATTCGTATTCGGCCATTGCCTAAGCCTCATGGTTCCTTATCATCGGCAACTATTTCCAGGTCAGATTGGTCGGTTTTCAACTTATGAAGTTCCAAGAAATTCACAAACTATGGAGTGGAGCAGTTTGCAGGCTCAATTAATTAGAAACAGAAACTCGATGTTTCGCGAAATAAAAGGGACTATTAAGATCACATGGATATATGCATTTGAAGCTACTATTAAGTCCGTCGACGATCTGATCGTCCCAGGGATTAAGCTTACGAATACCCTTAAAACAAACGCACGTCAAGTTTCAGGTCCCAATCTAGAACAGAGATGCCCTGGCTTTGGAACAGGTCACGATACCCGACGATACTGCAACTTCACAGTGCTAAAAGTTGATGAGAGCTTTATTTAAATTCTCAAATATTAGCTTGAGTGACATGAGCGGTGGGAAACTACATACATTCTATTTCTGTCGAATCTGTGTGTTTCCTCATGAGTACACCTTTTTAGCAATTACATATTTGCGAAGTTATAAAGTTCCTTACAATATCATTTACAGGAAATTCGGAGAATTGCCGGATCTTCCTCACATCATCGGGTGGTGTGGAGCTGCTTTGTAAAAGGCCGATAAACGAAGATGCGGGGAGGCGAAACAGGAGACTTACCAGTCGCCACCTGGCCAAAACAAGCGGCATCCATGCACCCAATTCTGGCTCTATTGAAAACAATTGGCGGGACTGGTTCATCGAATTTTAATGAATTGATTGTCTGCGCCACCCTCTTGCACCGAACACGGTGGCTTGGTCTACAGGGCTATGCTTAACTTTGGATGAACAGTCTGAACAGAAGACCATATTACAGAGTTCATCTGACAAATTGGATGTTACAACGCAAGGGCTGCAGTCTTTGCTAATATATATTTCCATTTATGGTAAATATCTTACCTAAATATACGCTGAAGTCGAGGAACCGTCGGCTTTTAAATCCAGTCGAAGTGAAGTAAGTGAGATCAAAACTCTGTTTTTACTCTTGGCCAGGTGAGGAATCTTCAGCACGCTGAGTTATCTCTACCCCAAGCCGTAGTTATTCCCAGCAAACGGTCCAACAGGACCTGTGGCGTCTTTCTAACACAAAACCGAAGATTTACGCCTCGGGTTCCCACAGAGCTATGTGTGGCGGGAGTGCATTACAACAACGACTAGCTGTGGACGTCACACACCAAGCTGTATGCTTTATCCTTCAACCCCCAAATGACTTATACATGGAACCTCGGTCTCAAGGTTTGGGATTCCAGGATGCTGGTATCTTTGATCTTCTTCCGGATCCCACGATTATATGTGCACTTCTTGTCCGAACACCCAAATGGCAAGGTCCAAAGACCCCTACTTCGTTAATAGCTCTAGACCCACATGTTCGTTTCCTGGCCTTCTAATAATCTAAATATACCAATCTGCCCCCCTTCCCTAGAGCTACTTTACATATGAGAAGTCCCATCATTTACTTCTAGAAGCTGTTGCCACGGTCAATATGCGTTTTCTTGTGCTTTTTTCGTTTCAACTACATGCCGCTGTTGCGTCACCCTACACACCACCATCGGGATATTTGACGCCAAGAATACAGCACCCAATTGCCTCATCAACGGCTGGAACCGATGCTTTGGCAGCTAATGCTCTCGCAAATTGGCAGGCCCATCAACCTAAATCCAACAGCAGCTGTACTGAGGCAAATGTAGCTGTGCGAAGAGAGTGGTAAGCACCTTTACCATCAATTATCTCAGTTCAATCGCCGACATTAAAATAGGGGAGATCTCTCGGGGCCAGACAGGAAGGCCTATACCGACGCTGTCTTGTGTTTGATGGCCAAGCCACCGAGGACTGACAATACTCTTGTGCCTGGTGCAAAGTCTCGGTACGTCAATAATGCTTCTTGTTTGATAACCGGTTTTGTTGACTTTGCATAGTTTTGATGATTTCGTCTGGGTCCATATGAATCAATCATTATATATTCATGCGACTGTTAGTTGTCACCTCTAAATGAAGACCTTCTTGAGTACTCTGCTAATATATCACAGGCGAACTTCTTGACTTGGCACAGATACTTTCTTTGGGCATACGAACAGGCACTAAGAAACGAATGTGGCTATCAAGGATATCACCCAGTAGGTAGATCTCTGTCATCAATTGTGTTGCTTTTCTAATGTTTCAAAAGTACTGGAATTGGGGAAGATGGGCTGCCGATCCAGCGAAATCGCCAGTATTTGATGGAAGCGAATTCAGTTTCTCAGGAAATGGTGTTTTCCAGAACCACACCATGACGATGCCACCCCCAGGCATAGATCCCATACTTCCCGGCGAAGGTGGCGGCTGCTTGGCGTCAGGTCCTTTCAAAGATTCAAAAGTCAACCTAGGACCAGTTGTACCGACCTTCAACATAACCAAACCTGGCCCCCCAGAGGTTGTCGGAAACGGAACAGCTTATAACCCACGTTGCATAAAACGAGATATTAGCGCCGCCGTCGCGCAAAGGCACTCTTCCGACTTAAATTCTACCAATCTTATCAAAGACAGTCCTGATATCGCGACCTTTCAACGCAAGATGGGAGGTGAATTTTCCAAGGGTGAATGGGGGGTTCACGCCGGGGGCCACTACACGTTCTTAGGTGACCCAGGAGGAGATTTCTTCGTATCGCCAGGAGATCCCGTATTTCATGCTCATCACTGTCAACTTGATCGAATTTGGTGGATTTGGCAGTATCAGGATATAGACAACCGCGTGAATGTTATCGATGGAACGATTACGATGGACAATACGCCGCCTAGCAGAAATGGAACGCTTGATGATATTGTAGATCTTGGTGTCCTTGCGGAGGCTATTTTGCCTTTAAAGTCTCTCACGAGTACCACTGGAGGCCCCTTCTGCTACATTTACAAGTAGCTGTTTTCGGTTTCTAGTATTTTTGTTTCACTGTATATATTACGGCCTTTATTTGGATTAGCGAAACTTTTACGACCTTACGAATACTTCTTATTTCATACTTTACTGGATTTCAATATTCCTTAATTTATTCGAAAGATTACTAGATTTAACTGCTGGTATCTAAAGCTAGAAACTTTTCGATGTGACAAGTCTTTCTACAGGGGTTCTATAAAACTTTGCTAAGCGAGGAAAGGGTTTTATCCGCGACTTTTGATATAGCACTTTAGCACCTACCATAATGACGATCTATTGTGAGGTCACCCGATACAGCCATATTAATAACTTGCGTTATAACGCGGGCAGCTGAGAACATTTAAAAGTGCGTTGTCAGGAACTTACGAGAATACTATAACCCCTACTCTACTATAGAGCAACCACGCTTTCAGGGCTTAAGCCCTTTGAGGAGTTTAATGTTCAAAACCTTAATAGTAGTTGAATCTACTATGTAGATAACCTACGGGCGTTTATTTATAATAATCTAAGAAGTGTAGAATGGCGGGGTAAGGTAAGCTATCTTACGATTCCGCATTTTCACTCCTGTTTGGTGTTTCGAAACATCACGTTTTTGACGCAAGTTATTAATATCGTTGTATCGTACCCCGCAGTCTATTTTTGTTTTGCTCAACCTGAGATCCTAACGTCCCGCCGTGCTGCGCTTGGATTAAGCATATATGGATGCTGCATCTGAGTTTGCTCAATCCAGAACGGGTTACTACAAAACTTTCTATCATGACAAGCTTTCTCCCCAGACTCCCCATCCCCCTTTCTCCCCAGCATAGTAAGCACTCTCCCGGTGAACAAGATATATTGCAGACTTGCCGCTGGAATTACACCAACCCCCAATGCCAAGTCTGCCACTTATCTTGTCCACCAGGAGCACGCTACTGATTCTCACCTTCCGTCTCAGTAACCGGTACTCAAACTCCGTATATACTGCACCTTTAGTGTCAGTGAAACAAAATGCGCCCCTCTTAAAAGAAGAATTCGATGTAGAGCCAAATTCTAGACGGACAATTGAGCCTCACTCGGAAGCTCACATCCTCTGTTTCCACGGAGCTTGGCTAAGAGAAGATTTCCGTTGACGATACAGGATCCTTAAAAGTCCTAGAACACGACAAAAATGATAAGAAAAACAAAAGTTCTTATTACTTGCTTGGACACAATTGCTCTGGGGCATTTTATTACTATACATCGGGTCTGAATGAGTTGTTTGCAAGAAAAGGATTTGGGGGAGTGTTGTGGTTGGCTGCTGTTGGCTATCCTGGATTGTCTCTCGGTTGATAGTGTATTGGTATGAAAGGGTTTGGGGGAATGTTGTAGCTGCTGGCTACTGTTAAAACGGCTGGTGACTTTTCCTGGTCTCTTCCTGACTCTCGTTGGATGTCGCTCAAGTCTTTTGTGGACCTAGTAAGTATGAGCACGTAGTGTCTTCTTCTCCAAAACTGTTTCTTTCGGCAGTCTAGAAGCTCCCGACAACCCTTATGGTTCAACTTTCTGGGCGGAATGGTTGGTGAAGAGTGGAGTGGGCATTTTCCAGACTTTATATTAGCGAACGAACTGTTGGCATGAAACGATTTTGCCGGTACGTTCTAGATATAAGCCCAGAGTTAGTTCTGGACTGTAACCTTTCAACCTTTGCTTATCACAAATGAAATCTCAAATACATGTTGATATGGGTGGAAAGTTGGGTGACGCGACACGATACCCGTGGACTGATTACAATCGGAAGGAAACCGACGGCCTCTAAGGAGGTGGAATTGGGTACGGAAAGCCCTCATGTATTTCAATTTTCCAGCTATACCTTTCAAAATTATCCGTAGCCACCCCGTGAACACAGCTGGTAGTGCCACTACTTCCAGTAATCATGTGCCATTCTTCCTAAAAGAAGAAGAAGAAGAAGAAGAAGCATGCAGCATCAAATCATTTCAATCAATTGCTTAATGATTGGAGTACATTCAAGATAAATTGAGAGCCCGGTGCAACAGGCTTTACGCCGGAGATTTCTGTCTTTATTGTCACAAAGGAATTAACTTATTACTAGAATAATCGGGAAATAAATGTCTCTGTTGTAATGTTTCAGCGAAAGATATGTACGATTAAAATATTTCACAAAGTTTCGTGTTCAAGTAATGAAGTTTCATGGGAATATTAGGCAGCTCTTTCAATTCTCACCCTGCATAGAGATAGTTGGACATGTCCTCGCAGTGGTCTCTTAGAGCACCTCTGGTAAGATCTGGGATCAAATAAATACTTGTCCTTCTCTTAAGTAAAAAAGAAAATACAGGTGAGAAAAAGCAATGTAACTGCAGAAATGACAAGGGTCAGAAAACCGGAGAATTGTTCCTCCCAACTTTTGCTCGGTTCCGATTGAGCTGAATAGATTGCCGGCATGTGCAACACGGGTCTGGATATTTTCACCAAAATGTCTGCCTGGAGATTGTTAATATCGACACCAAGATGACTTCTTGCCAAGAGGTAAGACAATTCCGGATAGAAAATCTTTCTGAGAACAAAATAAGCGTGGATGAACTGATGAGCCATCATGTGATGAAAAAAAGTAGGATGTCGCATCTACAGCGAGAAAACGCCCAAAAGTTTCTGTCTGTACAAGAGGCATATACGATGGAATTCTCGACATCAATGTCTTCAAGTCGGTCAGGGGTTATGGGAATTGGGAGATGCATTCTATACAGGAGTCTATATGGATCTGAGAATAGACTAGTGGATTTATTAGCATATGTCCAGAAGCAGGCTATGGAGTCAATTGCGTTTGGTTGGACACGTTCAGCGATATGCAGTCCATTTTCTGGTGCCTGAAAATCCCAGGACGGGTCATGGTTCGATACCGACAAAGCTGATGAGAACAGCCAATCCCCGGGCACTTGTCTCTTTCACACAAAACGCCCCAGTGGTTGAAAAGCGGTCGTAATACTTAGGCAAATATGCCATTTACATTACCTGTTATTGAGGTGCAAAGGCAAGAGCCCTGGGAGCGACTCTCGCTTACCTAATTACCCCTGTGATCCCCACAAATATCATCAACCTTAATTCATTTCAGACAACTCAACATCGTCTGCTAATTACTCCACGCCACAATATCCACAACTCTTAGTCCACGGTCGAATTCTGCACAGGGTCGAATTTGAAAAGCGCATTTCATTCGTTGTTATCTTCTACCTGTTGTTTTTGTGCCTAAAGGTCCTAACACGAGTTCCCAGGGAAGCGGTCTTGAAATCCATGCTCCTGTCATTGATATCCGCTACAGCCCTGGATATTTGGGAGCATGCTATCCTGTCATCTGAAAAAATAAGAAACACTTTCAGTGAAGCAGATTTGGTACTTCACTATGTGGTTCGTACAGTTGAAGAAGACCCAGTTTTGGAAGCTTGCCAATATTCCTTTTCGCTAACTTCAACATCAGATTCAGAATCACTTCTAAAAACATCCATAAACTGGTTCAATATTCCCTGTTGAGAAAAGTGGAGTCAGTTACTCCGAATAAACTAGGCTTCCTTCTCAACAGTCTCCCGTGTACAGAAGCACGTTATGACGATTGCCTTTTTGGGCGTTCGATATCCACAAACTAGAGTAGCGTCTCTTTGAATGCTGCAAGATTTCAAATTATCAAAACACGTTGGACATATTGGATTTAATCAGCTCACCGCCGCTTAACCTATGTACACGGCCCGTATCCGTGTTATGGGTTGCACTTTGGTACCCTTCGCACCACTCGCTAAGCTTACCTTGCTTCTATACATAGCCCACCTTCAATTTATGATACATTCATCCCGATATGAATTGCAGTCACAAGCACTTCATGATCCACGTTTTGGTATGGATACAGTCAGTCTTGGACGGCACAAACCGAAATGACACCATCGTTTGGTACTTTGAAGCTGTTTGTTTCTTCTCAATACTTTCATGTCATCATTTTTCGGCTATCTCTATTCAATATCAAGGCACATAATGGTGGCTCGTATTGTGTGCTGTACACAATGTATTGATTGTATAAACTGCTGCGGGGCAGGACTTCTCAGTCAAACCAAAATCCTTGCCGTTACATTGGTACTCAGATACGACGAGAGATGAATTCTACTGCCTGGAATTTAATATCGACACAACTCGCAAGGACCTCTTATTCAGGCCACCCCATGTCATGAATGCACAAAGGCTGCAAATATAAAGTCCCCAAGTTCCTCCATCTATTCTCATCACCACCCGCGCACCATTCCAACAGATTAGCAGCTCGCCAGTCAACAAATCATCGTTTGTACAAGTAAACATGCTTGTCTCTCTCCCTCTCGCCGCTCTCGTGGCTACGGCCTTTGCGGTGCCATCCCCAGTCGACCGATCTGGACCCGTCCTTGAGGCTCCATTCCCCAATGCCCCAATCTCAGCACCTCCAGCGGCAACAACCAGTCCAGCCGTTGGCCCAGACCCATCCAAAGTCACCATCAACTCAATCGCCTATGGTGGAACCGGTTGTCCTCAAGGATCTGTTGGATCATTCATTTCCGCTGATCGATTGACGTTTGTAAATTTCTTAGTTTTTGGTGATCACAACCGTACCACCGGCGACCAATCGGCTAATATTTAAACCAATTTCTTTGTAGTTTCACACTCATCTTTGACAGCTTCATAGCTTCAATCGGCCCAGGAGTCGTAAGTTCTTATCTTCTTTGCCGTAGATTTTGGAATCCACGAACCTTTCGAGTATTTAGACTTGCCTATTGGACTCTGACTACTGTTTCTTCCTCCGCAACAAGGAAAGATCAATACTGACTCCAGAATTCCATAGCCAATTACATCCAGCCGCACCAACTGTCAACTAAACATCAACCTCCAATACCCCTCAGGCTTCCAATACAGCATCCTCTCCACCGATTTCCGTGGCTACGCCAACCTCGGATCCGGTGTCTCGGGCGTGCAATCCGCCACCTACTACTTCTCCGGCTGTACGTTTCCCTCCCAAAAACCCACATCTCCATCATCTAACCAAAGTACACGTAGCATCCACTCAAGCCGTGACAAGCACAAACTTCAAAGGCCCCACCAGCGGCGACTACCTAATCTCCGACGAAATTCCCTTCACGTCCACCATCTGGTCCCCCTGCGGCGCCGCCCTGCCCCTCAACGTCAATTCCCAGATCCGGTTGACGAGCACCAACGCCGCGGCCAGTGGTCTCCTGACCCAGGATTCGATCGATGGGAAGGTTACTTTCCAGGTGGGCGTCAAGTGGCAAGCATGGTACGTATCTACCTCACGAGGAAATGGGAATCGATCGAGAAAAAGCACTGATGTTTTGCGCAGTTAGTGAGCTATTGCTATAAGCATTCATATGTCTGACGCCCTTTGGGTGGTGATTATGCTCACTTGTCTTCAGGCAAACCATAAGTCGATTCTGGAAGTGATGCTACTTTCGCCGTCCTACTGGTTGAAAGTCTTGTGAAAGGTTCTTGGGATGCGGAAAAGGGCTAAGCCAGATGGGAATTGCGGATGGATGCGTGGCTATCATTTTAGTGGGATATGCTTGGATGGAGGATTACAGTACTTTCGAGGAGGAACTTCCAGGAACAAACTATATCAAAATTTTGGTATAACTATAACCGTTATTTTCCATTGAGGGCTAAGGATACGGTAAGTTGTGATTGAAGGTCCACCGATGAGAACGGACCACTTCCTTTAGTCACCAGTCGTGAGCTAGGCTGTGGTTGAAATGCCCCTTTATTAAGCGAATATCGACAGCGGCTCAACTTATGATGGGTATTCACTAGATTATCTCCTTGATTCCTTGTGTACGAATTAATCCGTCGATTTTAGTCCACTGTGCACTTTTCTTACCGCTCACTATGAAACCACGACAACTTGCCCAAAGTTTATAAGCCTCCGTATCAAGTTTACTCAGCTTCTTGGGGTTACCTGGAATTTATTTCATATTTTTATGGTTTTCTCTGCTTTTGTTCAAGTCAATACAGTAGTGGGTGTCTTGGACTAAAATCAGCGGATCGATCCGTAAGAGATGTGGTCATTACTCTGCACACATACACACCTCTCTTGAGAGAATGTTATCCTAAAAGCCACGGAGAGTCGGACAACTAAACAGTTATACAGAGAGTTCAGAATAACTGTCAATACCTTCTTATTAGCCTAGGTATCCGAAGAAATTTATTTTACTTGTGCTAGAAGTTTAGTATAATAGCAGGATTTATGGTGAATGAGGATGGGATTGCTTAGTATGCCATGGTGGGATATATATCCCACCCTGCAAAAACGGAATCCACATTCCTTCATCAACACCACCACAATATCCACCATATCCTCAGCTACACTATTTCAAGCTCTTTTGTCCTTCTTTTCGTCCTCAAAACTACGATTCCTACGCCCCCTACAGTTAAACGAGAGCGACATAAACAGGTATAGAGATAGTGGTAGAACAAACGCTCGATTTTAAAAGGCTCTTTTCTCAGTCCTTCACTACCGACGCGCTCTACGAACCGACGGTTGGATAGTAGATATGCGTCGGAATGGCAAATCTACGTCGGAATAGCAAATGTAGACAACTTCGCCAGGCAAGGAAGGCTCTCGAGGTGTGGTTCTGGCCTACAAGGTTTTCCTACGCTTGTTACACAATTGTGAGCGGGGTAGATATATTTGCAGGGCAGGCGGTGGATATTGGTATTAGGTAGTAGATATACCTACTACGAGTGTGGGAGATTTATGAGGATAGTCATTCCTTGTTCCCTTTTTCATCTTCTTCTTAGTTTTCCCCTTCCCTCCTTTTCCCCTTCTTTCATTTTATAGCTACTTCCTTTCGCGCTGCTTACTGTAATACGGCCGAGGGTGCTTGTACTTCGCTTTCCACTTATACTGTATATATAGGTGAACTATAAGCACTTGAAGCCAGCCAGCAATACAAAATAAACCGAATAATAAGCCTCATTTGATATAACGTGTAACGAGTGACGAATGAACATAAATAACTTTTTATATAGAATGAACAGAGTAAGGACCAGGTATCTTTTATAAGAAAGCTACTACGTACTTTATAATCCTTCATATTATCAAAACCCCGACCTCCACCCTCACTGGAATAATAGATACAAAAGAATCAGGTATAGTGAACATTTTTTTCACAAAAGAAAACTACTGTAGAAGCAAAGACCAACAACACGCTCATCATCCAACAACCTCAAAAACGTCTCCCACAACAAGAGCAACGAAAAACACGCTACAAAAGAAAAAGAAAGAAGCAGAAGGCAGTTTATACAGTACAACAACAAGAAGGGACAAAAAAAAGAATATATGCCGTTACACGCGTTCAATACGCTCGCTAGCTATCACTACACACCCCATTTCCTCCCTCCCTTTCATTCCATATTATTCAGTCCCCAATGACCCACTCACACCCCTCACACTCATCAACACACATTTAAACCTCCTCAATCGCAACATACTTCTCACTAACAAACTTCCTACTGGTCTCCAAGCCCACCCAACCGCCCGCCGGAGAAGAAGGCAATTTGGGCATCCCCAAAGACTCATCAGCAAAAGGATCATTATCACTACCAACCTCCTCCTTTTCCTTCCCTTTGGAAACCTCAAACTTGGAAAGAGAAATCCCACTACCGAGAGCGAGACCGTTTGCCTCGGGACCAGAGATCTCCCAACGCGCTTCGATGCGACCCGGTGTTGGGACCGAGCCATCGACGCCAGTAAGTCGACAAATAACTTTATGAGATGTGTGACCGAGAGTCACGTCACCGAGTCGCCAGTAGACATAGTACTTGTCTCGTATGTGTATACCATTTGGTTTGGTTTGGCAGGAAGCTGCTTTTGCGCCCTCGTAGGTAGCGACAATCATAAGATTTTTAAAGGAAATTGGTTGGGTCCCTAGTGCGGGGTTGGCGCCGTATTCGACGAGAAGTTGCAGTTTGTCACTCAGCTGCTTCCACGCTGGCTTGATAAATAGAGGACCATGGCCCGGAATGTTTGAGTCATCGGTGTGTACTCTATAACTTAAACCAACAGACGATCTCGATGTAACTGAAGCGAGATTGATTTTAAATTCATCGGGCTTCTCAGCTGAAACCGGATGAACAAATGTATGGTTCATACCTATTGCTTCGAGGTTAGGAAAGTTGTTGACTTTTATGACTTCTGTTTCTAAAAACATGTTAGCGAATAGCTTGGAAGATCTGGGATAGCACCAACCTGGAGTCAAAGGAGCATCGTCATCAGTATTCTTGATATACGTAAAGGCGATTTCACCAGCAATGCGTGATGTTTTGACAATTCCATTCTCAAATGAGGCGCTCATATGTTCAATCACCGAAGCATTTAAGCCGACATTGTGCATTTCTGCGTGTCTGATGGGAGCGTGACTGGTAAGTGAGTGACCGGAACGGATGGATGTGGTATCGGAAACGCTAGCATTTCGCTGATCACTAGATGACAATGCAGCCAAAGCAGCATTCCGTCCACTAAGAAAGCTAGGGGAATTAGGCATAGGAGGTTGCGCTGGTTCTGGATTACTTGGCACTGTATTTGGCGAGGGTACAAAAATGGTGCTTCTCACATCTCTTCGACCCCTCACAGTTCCTACCTTTCGGTTGGGAGTTGCCATTTGAGAGGATCTCAGCGTATTGGCAACATTTGAAAGTGCTGCTTGGGCGTCCGCATCCTGCTCAGGTATAGGCTCATTTCGAATGTCTAACTTAAATTGAGGTTGCTCAAGCTCCTGGGCGGCTTCTTGCTGAGCTTGTGAAATTGCATCTAACTGAGAAGGTGGAACAGAGAACCCCTCTGCATCTGTCTTTGCGTCTTGCCCTTGAGACCTAGAACCAGATGTGGTCGCACGGTATTCAGAAAAGTTTGTTAAAGATCCCATCGTGCCGCCGTTAGCTCCACTCGTTTGTGGTCGAGCAGGTAACGAGTCGGAGATGTGGCTAGTTTCAGGAGTGACGCCGTTGGTGCCGTTCGTTGCTGTGGTAGGGCTCACATTAGGGGGGGATTCAGGTAGAGATGTCAATCGATGTTCTCTAAGCGGTGGATCCTGCAAATTGCTACTTGAAGCACGCGGTGACGGTGTTGGTTGGCCATCTCTGCTTCCAGAATTCCCTCGTCCAAAAGAGACGAATCCACCTTTAGAGGGCGAAGGTGCTCGGCCGAATGATGGCAGCCCACCGTGTATACTTTGACGTCTTCGACTCATCATAGTCCCAAAGCGGCTCTTCAAGTTTTCTATATAGTTCAGTCAGTCATTGAATCCAAAAGATCGAGAGCAAAATCACGGGTACGAAGCAGAAGAAATTTATCCTGTACCTTTTTCTGGTTTGGAAGAATGTTGGCTTTGATTGTCCCCATGGCTTGTATGTATAGATCTAGCCGGGGGTGTTGGAGGTGGCACGTTGGCAGCATTGCCGCCCTCGGCTTCAGACAATTGTCTTGCTCTTCTCTCTGTGATCGGTCTGCCCGCAACTGTCGCTTCCGACCAGTTTCTTATTTCTTGGTCTGTCTCAACCTCTAGCAACGTGGTCAATGTTTCCTCGACAGTGACTCGGCAGCGCTCGATTTGGTCGGCCTGGTGGGTCTCGTATTGAGTTAGAACATCGCGAAGGTGGTTTAATCGTCTCTCATCCAACGCCTGGAGAGTCTCGAAGATAAATGGTGCTTGGGAATTCCATTGCTGCTCTGCCACTTGTAGTTTTACTGCCGCCTGGTCGACCTTGGCTGCGCTCGCTTTTCCTCCTTTCTGCGCCAACTTATTGGATCGTTCTTGCGCGGCGTCCAATTCCTTCGCCATTGCTCCTAGGTTGCCCTGGACTGTGGACATCTGCTGCATCTCCCGATTCATTGAGGAAAAATTCCGCAGTGGTTGTTCAACATCCTTCTCTATCCGCTGTGCGAGTGCATGATGCGAGCTGGCAATCTCCTCGGTCGAAGCCACGATCTTCCTCCACGGTACTTCGAACACACTACCAATGCAGTCAGCGAATGTATTCTCGGTCGCAATCGAGTCGATTCCTTACCCAAGTTCAGTGCCCACATCCTGCAATGGTCGTCGCACCAGCTTCTTGAGCCCCGCGACATAGGCCTCCTCGATTTTCCGTCGCTCCTGCAAACAATGTCAGTCTCCGGCTGTCGCAAGTATCGCCGGGGTTTGCTATACCTGTAACCAGTCTGCGATTTCACTATTGGTCTTCCCCAACTTCTTTACCCTCTCATTGAATTTCGACACGGCGGCGGCAGGTTGCAAGCGCTCCTATGAAGGCGTCAGTCTCATGTCCCCCGTGCCTCGGTGGCTACGAATGCGACCAGTTGTCAACATCAACACTCGACTTACCAGCATGGCCGGATACTCCTGCCGGGTCAAGGCCTCCATGTTTGCAGTTGGGGATGTGCTCGAGGACACTCAGAATTGACTATGGGCGGATGCGCATACTCAGCGGGGACTGGTACACAGATAGACGACGCTACGATTGCGACAGCGAGGGATGTGGTATCAAGTGGGCTGGCGGCGGAGGGATGCAAGATTGAGAATTAGCATCCACGGGGCTCGCGGTAGCTCGATTGAAGCCCAAGACCGACGGCGTTCAGGGTTCCTCCAGGTCAAGGCTGGCTGCTGCCGCTGCAGTGTGCGCTTCGCTGCGTATTTTGCAGGTATGGGGACGCGGCTCCGATCGGGTTGAGTGAGCCGATGGGAGCCCAAATTGGCCCGACTATGTCCCTGGCCCAATATCCCTGCCCTGCGGACCCAAACTTTGCAGGGTGGGACTTCACCAGTGGTGCCAGTCGAGCCAGTGTGTGACAACACAACGCATGGAGTATTCCCTTACAGGGCACACCTGTCTCCAAACCTACTGTGGCTTCAAGCTAATGTCATAGCACTCCTTCACGCTCCCTCACACCCTTCTCTAGTCCTAAAACACCAATATCAACTTTGGTTGAAGGGAAATAACGACATCGGCATTAAATTGGACCCATCCCATTCATAGCCCAAGAAAAACATACGAAATTGAGACCTGCCTTTTTGGGATGTGTGGATGTAGCTGCCATGAACAATACAGGTGAATCTAACTGGAGGTCAGAATTGAAAGCCGCCGAACGTTATGATAACATTGAAAAACTGTGGGTGATCTCACTGTGCAGACACAAATATCCAAGACTAATTGTTCTTAGGAGAAAGAGTATTGAAACGAAGGGATTAGACTCTACAGGCAATTCACACAAGATAGCCTTTGCAGCTGAAACGGATGCTTATAACACTTCAGAGTCAAGAGTCAGTTGATCAATATCTCTTTACTTTAAAAGTTTCTATATTTACATCACATGACCTACCCCATCTTTTGCTTGGTATTCTAAATCTGATGGCCAGTTTAGGAAGCGTATGAAGCTGCTTGTAAGACCGTCACAGATATTAGCTCTCCAAGCAATGCGCCCCAATCTATCGAAACATTACCCGCAAACAATACAATATCCATCGGCCAATACACTGGCTGCCACCACATAGCAAGTGGACTCGTCTCCGAAGTATACAGAACCACAACCGTAGCACTAAAAGTCATAACCGAAACCCGAAACGTAGAACCCCACAACCCACTCCGAGAAATCAAGATCTTATCCCAGATATCCCACAAATCCATCATCCAACTAATCTCAACATTCAAAGATGGCGAAGGACGACTCGTTCTCGTCTTTCCCTTTATGCCTCTCACTCTCGCCAAAGTCATAGAATCAGGCTCGGTACCTAAGAGTGTTACAAAATCATGTTTCCATGACCTATTTTCTGCTCTGGAGTACCTCCACAATGCCGGGATAATACATCGAGATATCAAGCCTTCAAATACCCTCCTCGCATCCCCAACTGGTCCCGCATATCTCTCGGATTTCGGAACTACATGGCATCCAACACTCTCCCTCGTCGATGAGCCCGCCAACCATAAAGTAATTGAAGTAGGCACTTCCTGCTATCGAGCACCAGAAACTCTGTTTGGTAATCGATCCTACGACACCAGTCTCGATATGTGGGCCGCTGGTACCATGTTAGTCGAATGTCTAAGGAACCCGCCAAAATCCCTCTTTGTATCTCCTGATACTTCGGAAGATGGGAATCAACTCGGTCTTATCTTGAGTATTTTCAAGACTATCGGGACGCCTACGAAAGAGACGTGGCCGGAAGCGCTGAATTTCTCTACGCCTCCTTTTCAATGGTATCAGGAATTTCCCGGCAAGTCATGGGATGAGCTTTTGGAGGGTATCGATGGGGATGGAAGGGATTTGGTGCAGAATTTGGTTTGTTATGAAAGTGGGAAGAGGTTATCGGCTTCCAAGGTAAGTTCTATGCCGCTTTTTCTCTGGTTTCGACTGATATCTTGTAGGCGTTGGAACATCCATATTTTATTGAGGGGTAGTGGACAAACCCTTTTAGAGATCAGCAAGTGTAGAACTATTTAACTGCCATAATTTCTTCTTTTTTGCTCTATACTTTCGTGATAACTATTTTGCGTCCTCTCCAAAAAGTGATGACTTAGTCATTAACCAAAACCCCGTTTCTGGAGAAGCGTTAATAACAACATATCCAACCAATATATAAAAGAATCCATTCTTCTTTCCCAAGTTCATTTCCAAACCAACATCCCTTAACCTCCAACAAAAAGCCCCTTAATTGTCCCACAACACTTTCACAACGGAAATTTCCCAGCGCTAATATTCCAATCAGCCCGAACAACTTATTCAAACCAAATCATTATCCTACCATACTTCCACCTCTGGAAAGTGTACTGAGAAATACCCTCCCCGCTTACACCTACAGTACTTTACATCTTCCACTGACCAACTCTTTTGAAAAAAGAAAAGATATGTTCTGGCCAAGATTCCCTCTTCAATTCTATCCAAAAAATTCAAATTCAGTCTATTAAATGTGCCTTCAATAACACATACCCCACTCCACCTCCACATCCTGCCTTCCTCCAATTTGCCAAACTCGAAATCCATTCCGTAATCGTTGGCGTTTTCGGTCCGTAAGGTGGTGGGATAGATCTTTAATCATCATCTCGCTCCTCTCCCAACTCTTTTCTCGCCCCAAACAAACCTTTGAGATAAGAGTCTTCTTTGTGTATGTATCTCCATATGATGTTTGGAACTTATACAATTTCCGTTCTGGGTCTTGGAGGTTTGGTGGCTTTTGTGGGTGCGCAGGGGAGGGGTATGGTTAGTGAGTTTTTTGTGTTTGGTTGGGAAGTAGGGAGGGGATGAGGATGATGGTGAGGATAGGGATTTATTGTGCAAATCGGTGGTGGGAAAGTAGATGGGTCAGACGAGTTGTATTTCCACAATTGGGTAAAGTATGCGGCTTACAAAAAACTGGGTGTCTTCTTTATCTCTAGATAGGAACTTTGAGATATCATAACCACCATAAAAGAAAGTGCGCAGAGTTGAATAGAGAGTAGAAAACCCATCACCTTCAAAATCTTTAAATGAGTAGTAATCGTTGACAGAGTTAACTAGTGCAGGACAACACTCCTTTATCTAATCAACAAATCAACAAATCAATCACACTAGTACCATAACATACCCAAATTAGCCTAGGCCCACAATAAATCCTCCCAGCTCCCAATCTGTGGCTTTTGGTGAGTCATAATAGTAGCTGCCATTCCGCTCGTTCTTTGAAGTATCGCCAATAAGTCGCTGTTCAACGTATCCCTGCGATTGCCAGTATTCCTTCAAGAGCAGAGACTTACAAAAATGAATTGCACCTAAAGCGGGTGTAAATGGATGCGATAACTGGGTTAAATTAAGGCTCAAATGCTTGGATGCCTGTTCTGCTTAGCCAAATAACTTTGTTTTACAGGGAAGATAGAAGAGAGGTCAGTATTGCTCTGTTCACGCTATTAAAAGTCATCATACCAAAAGTCTAGTACAAGTACATCAATTATCCTACTTGACCTGGATTAATCAGGAGTAAAAATTATTAATTGTTCCAAACTATTTGTATAATTGATTTAGTTGTATAAGGTCTTTAGAATAAGATTTTTACAACTCGAGCAGCGTTCGAAATGAGTTGAGTTGAGTTGAGTAGTAGCACCTACTCAATTCAACTCAGAGTAGTCTTTAGACCTACTCAACTCAACTCGCCAAGTACTCGAGTGACTCTAAGTACTACTTAAGTAGCTCGGAGTACGTCGGACCGAGTCTCGGATGGACGGTCCGATGACTCGGCCTTAGTTGGCCCTTATATAAGCTAGGCTAGGAAATAAATTTATATATATTTTAGTAACAAGTGCTTCTAGTAAACTACTCTAAGTAGTACTCGAGTAGTCAAATCAACTACTCAACTTAACTCAACTAAACCCACTACTTATACTTAACTTGACTTAACTTAGAGTAACTCTGAGTAGTACTCGAGTTGTTGAGTAGTTTGTTCGAACGCTGAACTCGAGTGTATACAGAGTAATGGTCGCCTCTCTTAGTAAAAATGGAGACTTTTACTCCATTATAGATGGCACCAAAGACAATAATAAGTAATTATTTTATAAACAAGTATTGTTGCTGAAACTATTAGAATCCTACTTGTCTGACGTTAACCTAATTAGGACGATCTGCCTACCAGTTCCCAGGGAGATACGAAGTTAGGGATATATTATGTGGCTTGTCTTTTTTATCGCAACCACTATTGCCTTTAGTCCCTAATTGCGCTGTTCACGATACATGGTCAGGGCTTCCTGTAGGTTTGTCTTCGTAGTCGCAGCATCAATGCCATGATACAAATAACAAGTTGGAATATTGTAATGTTGATGAATTCTTAATCGCGAGATTGAATAAATTTTACAAGAGACGTGGAAGACATGCTTGTTATTATAGCTAACAAGGGGTGGTAGTTCATCTAACAGAGGCAAGCCAGTTTCGCTTAACTTAGAATCTTACATTGCTCCATGGACTTAACCACCTTAGTTTTGTGGTTCTACCAGGACTTTGTGATTCACCTAGCACATCTCTATAACATGTTTTTTAATAAGAAAGAAAAGTAGCCCAAAAGACTTCTAGAAGCATAAAAGTAACTAAAAGATCGTCAAGCAATAACATGAAACTTACAAGTACCTACCAAATAAATTATTCATACTTACTTTTAATACAATATGTTTACAGGTACTAGAATTATCCTGTCACATGCTACCTATTTATAGTAACTAACCTCACATGACCAAACAGCTGTCCATGACTCAAGTCCATTCGCTTAACTCTACTCCGCCGCACAACCCCACACACCTTCACTTCTGCGATAAGATACACAAATAAGAGCCCCCACGACATCAAATCAGCAAGTAAAACAGCTCGGCTGGCGCAATGGTGAGAATTCCCAAAATCTGTTCCTTCTAACTTGCAACTAACAGCTTTACAGGTAGCGCGCAAGACTTCTAATCTTGAGGCTGTGGGTTCGAGTCCCACGTCGAGTGCATGATTCATTTTTTTGGGGATTTTTCCGTTTTTTGTTAGTAGATTAATGGTGAATTTTTTACATCCCTACTGTTTTTAAGCTACCTTTTTGAGGTGGGGATCAGCGAGTTACAGATTTGGGTTGTTGTATAGGCATTCAGGGGGGTTTCAGACGATTATGTGAGGCTTTGTGTGGTGGGTGTGGGGTAGTGCACCATAAGCGAGGTAGGACGTTACTTTTTCAGAGTCCGAACGCTGCTCTAAAATCCCCTCTTTATTCTCGAATATTAAACTAGGCTAGCTTTACTAAATCACGATAGTCTAGCCTGGGACAGAAATTGTTCTCTTATAATGCCATCGATCTAGAACAATTCAAGTCAAGGAACTTTCCAATGCTCGAATCTTGTCTGGGACAGGCGAGATAATGAGAGGTATGGATCAAGGTAGCTAATTACTTTAGGTTTCATAGACTAAACCATAGTACACCAAGTAGGATATCCCAAAATTCTCTCTATCCTGTCTTTCAAGATTGCCTTTTTGATGTATAATTTCAGTGGATTTGAATATTCTGCCAACCCACCTATCATTCAGACGGTTCCCTGGACATATTCTGGAAACTTCTGGTTGCCAAGCACTACTTACTTTTGCCATTGTAAGGCAATACCCAACAACCATACACATTTGAGTTCTGAAGATATTTTTGAGAAGATCAGGACATGCGTATTAAGCCTTCACTTCCTACTTTTAGATAAGCCCAGATATCCATCAACGAAGTTCTTGCAGCCACTTCAAAGTGTCCCCTAGACCCAGTCTACTACGTTCTGCACTCCCTCGATCCTCTTGCATTCTTCTTACCACCGTATTTTCTTGAACCTCGCTCTCCAATTTCGCCCAAAGTTTCTTCCGAAAAGAATTAACCCCCCTCATACTATCTTCTAGTCTTTGATCTAGACTTTCAAGAACTTTTCTCCCCTTTTTGAATATTTCAATGAGGCTTTGAATAGCCTTCACAGCATCCATAACTTCCGGTCCTTTGATTTCGAAGCGGATAGCATCAAGTTTGGAAATGATATCCCCCAAATACACATATTCGATCCAAGGGAAGAATGTGCCAATTGAACTTCTGCTAGCCTTAATATTCTCGAAGTTCTTCTCTATATCAGCTCTAAACTTGTCATCAAGCCCAAGTTATCTCTTGCCACGTCTGTGATCATCAAACATGGAGGAGTTCTGTATTTTGCACCGATCGATGATAGTCGGTACTAAGGCCTTCCGAAGTATTTCGAAGTGCGTAATCTTTTCCAGTGATCTCAGGGTCAGAGGACCTTCTATAGAACGCTGGAATCTGGCTTTTTGGGATTCAATTCTGTCGATAGATCGTGCTACATCGGTGCCAAAATCACGTTCATTGACCCGCCACAGAAGCTTCAGAATGTTTTCAAAGTCCTGGTTTGCGCTTTGGTATAGTGCCCTCAGATGGTCAGGGTTGTACTGCGGCAGAGCCATGTCGAAAGCGTGGATCCGAGTAGGCTTCACAAGAGGCTGATATTTGTAGTTTTGGCGTTCAAGAAGTACAGTGGTAGGAGAGACATTTGGGACTTCTTGATTTCCCCAGAAAGCGCTTTCATTGATGACCAGAATGGCGGAATCTGAGAGTCGCCACAGAAAGGTGGATTAGGAGCAGGGAGTACTCTGAGAAAGATATAGAGAAAGGGAAATAGTGCAAAAAAGAGTATGATGAGGCACACCAGTTGAAAAAATGGTTCCTGATTCTTGTGGCCCTTCTGGGCGTTTGTGCAGCTTTGCTGTGGTTGCGATTCTTCCATGGTGTCGCTGGAAGTTCGAAAGCCGACTTTGGTCTTTGTCGCCCCATTTACAGGAACTTCGAAATATTTTGGCGATAAGAAGGCTGAAGTTTTATGCTTGTACTCTTGGGAAAAGGTGTGTGTTGCTCTGCTAGCTGGAGACCTTCCAATAAGCGAGGGCACCCTGTCATATTTGTATGCAGAAACAGTCCGGCGAAGTAAAAGCAGTATCGACATTGTTGCCCATTTTGTAAGTGGATATAGAGTTTGAACATCTCTAAGCATATGTGAATGATAAAGACGTTTTTCGTTGCATTTCCGATAGACTCTCTTCCATTTCTTGAAGACCTCAGGTGTTCTATAAAGCTCTCAGCTTGTCCAGGCCGCTCGATGACAAGGGGATAAAGAATAGGGGAGATGCGCTTCGCTCAAATTTAATAATACACCTGCTCCTTACTTTGTACACAATATAAGAAGTTATTACATTAATCGTTTAGCACAAAAGTTTAGTTGTACTAGGCTTCTGGGACACTACTGTTCTAACTTAATATATAAGACAGTGAGGCGAAATTCTAGACACACCTAGGTTTGAAAAAGAGGTTTTTCTAAAGATCTCGTACAAATGATATTATTCTCTGAGTGGTTTAGGAAAATTTAATCAATTGTTCTAGAAATAATAGTAAAATAGGGGTTTAAAGGCGTGTCTAGAGTTTCGCTCAACGATAGCTATCTTACGTCTTATACGTATCTATATATAAGTCAAGGAAAACAAGCATTACCAGCTCTTAGTTGAATTTTCTTTTGTAATAAAGCTGGTTGATAATAGGCAATCGAATATCATTCAACTTTGCACTGAACTCAAGTAGATCGCAATGTAGGAAGGTAAATGTCTGTCCTGTTTCAAGCCGCCTTTGAAATTACCGGATATTGTTGTCATCGTTCAAAACAGATAAATATTCATTGATCTCTAGGATGAGAAGATAAAAGCAATTCTATAGAAGGAAATCAGCGGCTTCTATGGAACAGTTTTCCATCCAAGAATCCGATTTTGGTATATTTTCTATTACGTCAACATAGACTCGTGGACATGTCCTACATAGGCAAACAGGAAGCGAGGAATACGGAAACAAGTTGGATCAGTAACAAATGATAACTCGGTATCCTGTCTTGTCGCAAATATTCAAGTAACAGTTTGAATATGCGTTGATCTTTACCATCATTGGAATCCCAACCATTGTAACCACAAATTACATACGATTGATATCCTCTTCAGTTTTGTTGTTGCTTAGAGCAAACGTCCTAAGATTATCCCTGACATCAACAGCAACAATGTATACCTCATTCATCACACATTTCCCAGCCGATTAGAAGTCAACGCGCACGTCAATCACCAGACAAAATTGAACCTGCAGGTGATCTTCTCTTGATGTGACGATCCAACAAATCTTATCTTTGGGGAAAAGGTTTGCGGGAAGACTTCCAGAATGCGTTGAATTCATCATATTTGGAATCTTACAAGAAAACAGATCTGAAATCGATGAACCATTCCAGAATTCCTCTCTTCGGTATCCTAGAATTCTTGGGGAGTATTTCAGTGGGAGGTACCCCGGAGACTTGAAAAGAATCGTGGATAGAGAGTTTGGCCTCTGGATGAAGGCTTTACCCAGTATTTGTTGTTTACGGTTGGGTTCTGTCCAATCAAAGTGAAAGCAGTTTCCAAAAGGTGAGTAAGTTGACGAGTTCTACTGTAGGAGACCTACTAATTTCATTTCTCTACTTTGGTGTTACTTGTACGGAGAATGATCAATGCCAGTCAGTGGTATCGAGGTACAAGAACTCGACTCTAACTAGAACAAATACCCCGCGGCTGGTTTTCTCAGCGTAGGTACTCCGTGTCTTTCATACCAGAAGTTGCTAATTCCAAATTAATTATAGATGCTCGTCTTCTATCTCCGTTTTCTGAATCAAATATTGGATGATACCCGTCTAATATCCACCCAGCCACCTCAATAACTCAAATCACTTAATCTCAAACCTTTCTTCCACACCCAAATAACTCCTCTCTCCACCCTGCCATCCCCGTCCATCCAAAACAACACTCCCCCACCGCCTCACAACATCCTCCAACCCCTCAACCGTAAGCGCAAAAGGACAAACCCTTTCAAAAACAAAGTAAGCCTCCTCCCTAACCAGAAGCAATGCAAGGCCAGGGTAAACCTGCACCAGCACCTCCCCATCCCAAAGCTGCTCCACATCCTCGACAAAGACCTCATTCTCATCCTCGTCATCCACATATCCCGTTCTGGTGAAATACCCCTTGAGAATCCTCGGACGAGTAAAAGCTATTATATGTGCATCAAACTCCACATCCTCACCCCTACAATCTCCATTCACCCCCCTCTCCGCAGCAGGGAAATCTCTCCCCTTCAAGATCGCATCATTCCCCCACGGTAACGTCCAATCCACCGCCCAAAAAGGCAACCCCTCCATCCCACTCTTCCGCCTAACAAGTGAGAGGAAGAACCCCAATCCATGGTGTCTAACAAAGAAACTCGAGTAATACGTGTAAACCTCTACAACACTCATCCCATAATCCGCTTCCAGCTCAGGAAACCGATTGCCATCGAGGTACTTTGCGATACTTAGGATTCCGAAGATTTTATCTCGTGGGTCACTGCATTGGCGGGCGCGTGTCTCGATGAGGAGGTCTAGGAGGTGGGAGGTTCCCTGGTTTATTGGGTGGCGGAGGAGGACGAAGATGCGGATGAGGTTTATACTTGGGCTTGAGGGCGAGGCGTCTTTGAGGAGGGTGAGGAGGTGTAAAGCTCTGATTGCGGGGGTGGAGAGTGAACCGCATATGATTGTTGTGTGGCGGATATCTGGGAGTGTGACTTCCTGTAGGACCCAAACTCTGGTGAACCAGCGGCGAGAAAAGTATTCAGTAGCTAGCTGAATCAGTTCTTGCTCAGAGACATTTATTTTTCGCTTGTTGCGTGCTCGTGTGAGTGACAGGAGCTTGTCCTTCGCTGCGTTCCAGTATATCCATATACCAGTGGCCACACTCCCCATAGCATTATCCACATCCCATCGACTCGGAATCCTCAATTCCCTCGTATCCAACCCATTTACCCAATCAAATAACGTAATCACCCCCGCTGTCTCCTCGCCCGTGTATACCACCACACCCTTTGCCGACGTATAAATCTTGTGCATCATAGAAACCTGATAACTGCGTTCCGCATCACTACTCTGATCAATACAAATCGCATCAATCCACATCCACCTCATTTTATCAGGCAATCGAAGACGTCTCATAGCAGCATCGCAGCTCGTCGTAATCATGATAACACCCTTCTTCCCACAAAGAAATCTCTTCGTCCTTTCGCCGTTACCAATTTCATCCGCCCAGGTGTAGGATAGAGCTTCATAAGCCGGTCTAAAGCCCGAGATTCTTGTCGAAATCACTTTCCCCCTCAAAGGATCATTGAATTTTCCAGGCGAGATACCCAGGAGACGGAATTCGTCTGAGCCTCGTAGGGATGTATATTGATATGCCTTTGTAGTATTAAGCTCCCCTGCAACACTGGGTCTGCTAGGTTTCTCGACTTTCTCTCCCGAATCTATCGATGATAGTAGACTGTAACTCCTTACATACCCATTTCCACTCTTCGACATCCATCTCTTCAAAGACCTCTTTCTCCACACATAGATCTGAAATGGTAAAGTAACAGCCATTCGAATTGCTTCCAAGAGTAGCATTAGGATCGTCCAGATGATAACGAAAATGTGTATAAAAGTAGCAGCAATCGGGACGAACGTAGCAAGAAAAATCCACTCGCTCGTTTTCTCTCTCATCCTCTTCAGTCCAGCTGGATTGAAAAGCCATAGTATTAGAAAAGCTAGGATATAAATGACCCAGACGACCGGGATGAGAACCACCGCAATCAAACCGGGGATGAAGAAGGCGATAGTCTGCCAGAATGTTGGAGCGTATAGTGCGCCCATTTCGTTCAACGATCCAGCGATATTTGGAAAGGCAAAAGAACTGTTCTTGAGAATGGTCGCGACTCTGTTATCTTCGGATGGTAGGTAGCTATGCCTTCAGCTGATATAAATAACATCCCTGGAAGTAGCCGCTTGTCGGTAATCGTATCTGCAAGCCACATGAGACTCTTCTGCAGGTAATAGAAAGCTGAATAGTGTGAAGTTCTGGGAGTAACTATGAACCTGCAAATACAGAGCTTTCTGTTTCATCAATTACCGGCGTATTTTGTGATACAGAATGACGAAATTCTACTGCATCGCGCGTTCCTGTGGTGGCACAAAAAGAACCTGGAGTGAGACAGATGGACACCATAGCAACCACTTAACCATTCCAATTCCAAGGTTACCGTTACAGTACCATTATCAATCAAGAAAATACGCACTCTAACTATAGTCATTATTATTAAACAAGAAACCATTCTCTAACTACTATACATTCTATTACTGTACAATTACCAAATAAAACTAACCAATAAAGAAAGAAATAATATACAACCCCCCATTCCCCATCCCCCATTCCCCTCCCCCCTTCCCTCCCCCTAAAAAATCCCAAACCCAACAAACCAAAACTCCTTCCCTTGACCTCTCTAGTAATAATAATACAAAAAAGTCACCCTCCCTCCCCCACACAACCTCACAACCCACCCCTCCCCGCCCTAACCCCCGCCGCATACCCCTCCACAAACCCCAACCCATGACCCTTCTTAACGCCCTCCCTAAACACCTCCGTCAACGACACCCCTCCAGAGAACCCCCGGCTTTCTTCAAATCTTTTAACTTCCTTTTTGACTTCTTTATTTCTTTCTGTGTGGAGTTTGTTAGGGTTTGGTAAGGAGGTGTTGCGTTTGGGATTATTCGGTGGGTTGTTGGGGGGATGGGTGTTTAGTGGGTTATTTGGGTGACGGTTTTTGGGCAGTTTGAGGATTGAAGGGGGTGTGGTGGAGGGTGCTGTTGAGGGTGCTGTTGAGGGTCTTGCGGATTGTGGGGAGGTGGTGGAAGAGGTGGTGGTGCGTGATGGTTCGGGGTGTGTTTGTAAGGTATTTTGTTGATCGGGAGTTGCTTGTGCTTGTGCTTGTGGCTGTGATTTAGGTGTAGTGGGTAAAGAGCTAGTCTGTACTTTCAGGTGCGGATTCGATGTCAGAGGGTATAGAAATTGTGACGAAAACGTGGTGCGAGACAGGAATGGACGTTCGGAAAGAGCTGGTGGTGGAGACAAGACATCTGAAGACTTGCACCGAGATACCCTTTTCGGGTTCGAGAGTTGTGAGAAGTAATGTGCGTCTGGGTGACGGCTCAGTGATTTGAGTGCTGGTTTCTTGGGTTCATTGATGGGAGGAGGGGTTTGGGATGGTGTCTTTGGAGGACTTATTGCTGGAAACGCTGGATTTGGTGGTTTGTTCTCCGCGTGTTTGGCCATCGTCGTGGTTGCTGAGTGCTCTGAGCTACAGGTGGCATCCAAAGACGTGGCTCTATTTGAGTTCTCCCCTGCTTCGGATCTTCGAGAAGTGTTTGGGTCGGAAGAGAGGAAAGTCAGAGTAGGCTCAGATCTCGAATCCAAAGGTACAGCCTTCGTAACCTCTGCTGTCGGTGGAACAGGAGGAGTCCTAATTGGTGCTTCAGGTAAAGAACTCTTTGTACTTTCACTCATCTCATCCCTCTGTCCTTCATCGGCCTGTATCTTTTTATCTTCTTGGGTATTCATAACATTACCACCAAAGGTCGTAAGATCAACCCTTGAGCTGGTAAGACTACTTGCTGGAGTATGGTAAACGCTGTTCACTGAACTGGGGCTTCCATTGAAGCTAGGTGTTCTCTGTGGTGTTGATGAACTGGTCGGAGACCTGATTCTGAGTTCTTGCTTCTTGGCTGATGGTGTGGTAGGTACAGGAAGTTTAGTTCGCAGAACCGGTGTCTTGTCGATTTGTGTCTCGACTGGCTTCTCGATTGGTTTATCGATTGGTTTCTTGCTTTGTACCTCATTCCTCGACGGCACAGGCAGACTGAAATTCGGGACTTGGGATTTCGGAGGTGGAACAATATGGTTCAGAGGAGGCAGACTAGATACCTTCTTGTCCTCGGGAGGAGTAGAAAGGACCTTGAAAGAATCGGGACTACTCTCCTGTTTTGCTTCCGATACATTGGATACAGGAGGAGGTGTAGGCAAAGGCCGCGGTGGATTTAGAGGTCGTGCCAGACCGCTCGGTGTGGGTTGACGTTGATAACCAAATCCAGTCCGTGGCATAGTAGTATGTACCCTTTCCTCTGCTCCCATAGTAAGAGGAAGTCTCTCCTCGTGGCGTGGAAGACTTCCATTCTGAAATTTCTCAAACACATTCCCCTTCACCGGAACAGGCAGGGAATTATATCTAGTTGGACTTGTCGTAACCGGAGCCTGTACTGGGAATTGAGATGGTTGTTGAATCCGACTCTCCACATTGGTGAACCAGTCCCCGAAATTTCCGCCTGCGGATTCCGGGATCTTTGGGTGTTTAGGAGGACTTTGATTGCGTTCTCTCCCACCGGATATCTCAGGTCCCTCGTAAGCATTCAGAAGCGGTGCCTCGGAATTCCTGTTTGTCTCCACCTGCATAGACCTCGACTTTGTTCGACGGGGCTCTCGCCAAAACTGTCCATCCATAACACTCAAAACCGGCCTAACTTGTTCCCCATTCCCACTCACCGAATCCAGCACTTCCAGACTCCCTCGACTCCCTCTCTTGACCAACTTCCCATTCCTGGTTACAGGTCCGGAGAAGCGTAGCTCATGCTTGTGCTTGATATCGGTTTCTGTGATTGAATTTCCATTCAAACTCAGCATAGATGGAATTCTGGATGTCGAAGACACAGATCGAGGACCCGAGTAAGACCAACCCATCAGATCCGCAACCGTCGGATGTCCTCCGTGACGTTGAAATCTTGAACCTCTACGTTCAGTTGGACGATATCGCTGTTCTTCAAAGGTCGATTCATCCCAGTTCACCTTCTTCATTGTGTCCGTTTCTGTATCTGAAGAGGATGTTGAAGAGTGTTGGTGGCGAGGATGATATGGGCTTCTCTGTGGTAGTTGTCGTTGTTGTTGTGTACTAACATCGGACTCCGCGATGGGGAGACTAGCTAGCTCTTGGTGTTGAGCCGGTTCCTGAACTAGTCCCTTCAGCTCCGCACTAGAACCACCATATTCCCAGGCGGAACTTGACATCCCCTCGTTCTTAGATTCATCCGAAGGCTCGGGATGCGGTAGTGGTATGATGTCTGTCTCCACGTGCCATATATCAGTATTCAACTCCCTGAAGCCCCACTCCAGTATCGCCTCAAGCTCAGATCCATCGTTACCCATCTCGTGACGCGATTTCGTCATCGACCATGACACGGCATCCCCATCCGCGGACTTGGCTCGAAATCCATCCTGATGCCTCTCAGAATAACTCGCTTCTCGACCCTCAGTGCCCTCATCACCTCCCCCCTTCCCTTCCTCGTCTCTATCCCTCGTCCCAGAACTCGGTCTCTGAGTTGACGGCGCTCGAAACTTTCGCTCTACGGGATGGGCTCGAAGACCATTTGGATGACCGTGTATATATTTCGTTTGCCTTTCCTTAACTCCCCTATCACTTGTAGGCTTGGATTCAGGGAGCGAGAAGTTCTTGGACCTACCACCACCCCTCTCATCATCCACACCCACCACACCCACCACGCCAAACGCCCTCTCCAAACTCTCCCGTCGTCGCTTGTCATATTCCTCACCAGATCTGCTAGCAGGTAATGGTGCAGAAATTCTGTTTCTCGCCCCTGCCTTCCTTTTGCTCCCTTTGCTCCCTTTGCCATTCTTTCTCTAACCTCTAGTCCGCATCATGCCCCTCCATATCCTCCCCCTTCCAAATACCCATCCCCTTTGGAGCCAGAAATACCGTGACCGCTTTCTTTGAACAACTATTTCAAGGTCCGGTGCTTGGATATGATAAAGTGCGAAGGGGTTAGAATACCTATTTTCGATACAGAGGGCCTTTTTGGTTAATTTCGGCATTATGTATTGCTTTTGCTCCTGTGAGAGCTGGAATTGTTGAAGCGATGTAAGACGTGTTGCTTGTGCAGGGTAGGCCAGAGCTGCGCTTGAAGCGTGTGATATTGGAGATGAGAATATTGCGTTGATGATGTGGAAATCATATCCCACCATGTAACCTTTTGAAAACGAAAGGAACAGTTGTAGGGTTGTAAAAGGAGAACGAAAGCAAGGAAAGAGGTCTTGTATCGAGTACTCTTCGAGACTTTAACCTGTTAATAAGCCAGTGTAAGGATGTTTGTGATTTCCTCAGGTAGAGAGGTAAATCACAGAAGCGTATGACGGCGTGAATGGATGCAGTTTGAAGAGATAGTGAAGATATCGAGGAGTGGAAATTGAAAAAGAGATGAAAACGCTTAACTGAAATTTCTCATTTCCACTCAACTATGAGCAAGAAAGACGTCCCAATTGCTGGAACTAGATTGATCGCCAAGCAATGGCAGAAATGTGAAAACAAATAAAAATCACGACTTGCTCACCTCAAGTCCAAACATGCACCCTGATGAGAGTAAAACGACAAACAAAATAATCCATCAGAACAAACTTTTAACACGTACAAGAATCTTAAACTACACCTTTGCCTTCCTCTGCAGCAAACAATGAGTTCCCCATTTCCTCTGGAATTTTTCCGGTATGAAAGGAAGATCAGGAATCCATATCGTCCTCGCAAGCACATGAGTCTTGCCTGCATCCAAGAATGGAACACAAGAAACCTTTTCCCAACGTTCTTCATCTTGAATATAATGAGGCTCCAGTTCGGAAGATATTGTTCCAGGGTAATACGTGTCTACTAAGAAACTGCAAGTTCGTAAATCGGTCTATAAGTGTTAGTTTTGGATGATTCACGAGCACGCGAAACTCACATATTTTCCCATATCCTCGAGATTCTCGTCGTTCATTCCAGCTGGAGTCAACCATGCGCCAGACCAGAATCCGTAACCGGTTTTTGCTTCACTGAATTCTCCTGGTAGAAGACCATTGAACTCGCTCTTGACGAATTTAGCGCGCATGTCGTTTGGTAGATGGTAAGAGCTTGGGAATCGATACCATTCCTTGGCGAAACAAACCGAGTCTCCTCGACTGCCAATTGTTCCATTTTGTAGCGGCTCGTAAACTTTGAGTGGCGCAGAATATGCAGTATAGATTCCGTAAATTCTGGCAACACCAACATCTATAGATCCGATGATGACCACACTGACAACCAGAAGCTTCAGCTTGGCTGGTATTTTGCCAACCAATGTCTTTGGATCTGAGTCCCCAAATGCCGCAAGAATAATGTGTAATGACATAGCTGCATTGAGTGCCAAAGCTGGATATGCTGGATACATGAAGCGTTCCTCTTTGTGTGGCTGGGAAGTGAAAATAGCCAGCCATAAATAGAAAGGAGACATGAAAATTATGCTTCGAAGGCCAGTAACGGCACCGCCCTCTTGAGGAGATCTGGAGAAGACTTTTTTGATTGCAAAAAGTGGCAGCGCAAGAACAGCAAGAACGAACCAAATATTGAAATTCAGAAGCAAATTCCGGATGTAAAAATGCCATGGTTCGGTTCCGTAGATCTCAGGCCCTTTTCCGGGTCCACTGAAAATATTGTAAAGCACAATGTTCAGAGGAACGATGACCATTTTCTTGTAGAAGAAGCCAGAAATGACAAACTCGAAGAACTAGAGCAATAATAAGTACTTGATGGAGTATCGTAATAAAGGCCACTCACCAAGACCAACAAGGCAGCAACAATTCCACGTATGAAGCGCATTATTGTATCTATTAACGCATCTTTGCTGCTCAAAAACGCAAGTACAACCTCCTCAAAGAGAAATGGTGCACATAAAGCCATTGAGAATGGCCAACCAAGAACTCCGCCAATGGCAAAAGCAAAAATGCCCTGTGCCGTTTTCAAACCACCTCTCCAGTTCATGAAAGCCGCCATTCCAATCATGGTTGTATACATGGCGAAACTCGAGGGTAGGAAGGCCGCAGATGCATGGAACATGCCGGGAGTAAAGACATTGGCCATCAAGAAGAATATAGCAATGCGAGGGTTCAAGGTGTTGTTGATCACACGAAACATTTGGGTCTGACAAATGGCGCAGGTAAATACAAGGGCATATCTGACAAAGTAGAACTCGCCAATCTGTTTTGAGTCAGCAATTAGCATTGAGCATATTATATATATATATAGATGGTATTCGGCGCACCTTTGTGGAAAAGGGCAGCAGACGTCGGAAACTGCCAACAATCGCATGGAGTCCAATGTAGAACCAACTGCGAATGGCATAGTCGGGCGAGTACTCCCACGTTTGCAAACCATAACCATGGCTCAAGTAATGTGCAGGTTCCCAGTAGTTGAACGTCTCATCACAATCTTGTATGGGTGCAAATAAGGCGGCGAGGAGGTTTGCAGCGAAGAAGACGTAGAATGCGCCAATTGGCTTTACTGCGAAGGGGGTCGGGGGTCTATAGAGGGGGTAGAGGGGTTAGCTAGGGCATGAGGACAGCTGTTGTGTTACTAACTTTCTCTTTTTCTGGGTGACTGTGGAGTAGCCGGAGCTGGGAGGGGGAGGCTTTGGGGCCATCTTGGGGGTATCTCGTATTTGATACCAGGTTTGAACGGCTGGGTTGACTCTTGTGAGTCTGTAGATGCCAAACAAAATTCACTGCGAGCTTCCTGGAGCTGCCCCAGTGAAGCTACTGTAGAGCTGGCCACAGGGCGGGACAGCAGGACGACATCATTTCTGGGGACCCTTGTACCTGTACTGCCTGCACTCCAGTAGCTGCATGCCAATACCATCCCTGCATCCTAATCTTATCGCGCTAGTCCGATTGCTGCTGAAATTTATTTTGCGCCCATCACTTTTTGTCTCCAGCATCATCATTTTTTCACCCAAATACCAACATGTCTAATCCTGCTTTGGATTCCGAAAAGATGGATTTGGATAAATCTGCCGTCAGAATCCCTACTGGAACGGACATTGTGATGGAAAATAAAGAGCAGCATTTACACGAAAAACACAGCGAAGTTCCTGAAGCCTCCGTCGCAGCACCAGCAGAAAAGGTGATTGTTGAAGCAATGACAGAAGAAAAGGCCACCGAAATAATCGCAGAAGTACCGCCTAGTCCTCCTCTCACCAGTGCATTGGAAGCACTGATTGGAGGTCTTGACCCAATTATTGTCGATACACCCGTTAACGATGCCTCTGTCAAACCTGCGGTCGCAATCGAACCTGCACCCGTTGAAGCACCGATTGAGGAAGCCAACCCTTCCGCAGATATGATCATGGATAATGCTCAGCCTATGAACATTGATTCGGTTCGAGAGCGCTGCGAAGAAATCAAAGTCAAAACAGAAAAGACTGCCGACGTCGATGAAGCCGAATCTCTCCTCCGAGCAAGCCAACCTACCATGTTTTCTACACCAACCGATATTCCAGAAGCAGAGCACCCAGAATGGGAGGCGGACTCTTCTCCCTACGAATCCTCCTCCGACGACTCATCTAGTGATGACAGCTCCTCGGATGAAAGTGATGAAGAAGGGGGTGGGTACAAACTGCTTAGCCCAGAGGAACAAGCTCGAATATTAATGGAGGGAGATGGTGGTTCCGATGATGAGGGCGGCAAGAAAGGAGGAAGTGGTGCGGGAGCGCAATTGCGGACCAAGAATGAAATTGCGGATGTAGTGGTTCCAAAGCCAGATGTTACCATTACTCCGGAAATGCCAATTTCTCAGTTGGGATGGGTAGAAACGACCGTTGAAAATACCATACTCATCAAAGCGCAAACTTCTGGGGAATATAAAGTCCTCGAAAGTGGTTCGGTGTTGTGCTTGGAAAATAGAACGGTCATTGGAGTTGTCGCAGAAACTATAGGCCGGGTGCAACAACCATTTTATTCGGTCATGTTTACAAATGCTGCAGAACTGGCAGAAGCGGGAATGGTGATTGGAACGAAAATATTCTATTCCGAGAACCATTCCACCTATGTTTTTACGCAAGCATTGAAGGCTTTCAAGGGATCAGATGCTTCAAATCTGCACGATGAAGAAGTGGGTGCCGAAGAAATGGAATTCTCTGACGATGAAGCAGAAGCAGAACACAAGAGAAAAGTCAAGCAACAAAGACTTGAAAGGCGGGGTGGTAAGCAAAATGGGGGCCCAAGCCGTGGAGGCCATCCATTGCAGCAGCAGCACACACCATACGATGCCAGCAAAGGCATAAGTTATGATGATGCTGATGATGACGGTCCTTATAAGCCTCTGACTCGACCCGCTGGATTTGCTGAGTCTGTTGGTCGAAGTGAAGCTCCACAGGAGGGACAGTATGGCATGAATGGCAACCCTCATGCTCAAGGCCACTTTAGGGGAAGAGGCAGAGGTGGGGATAGAGCACGGAGTGATAGAGGCAGAGGACGAGGCGATAGAGGAAGGGGTAGAGGTGGTAATATCGACAGACGTGGTGGTGGGTACAGTCTCGGTCCCCAAGGTCGATCAAGTAATGGACATCCTCCTGCTCAGAATCTTCAAAACTTTAGTCCAGCCCCCCAACAGCCAGCATTTGCGACGCCCGGTGGGCAATTCCCGACATTCCCTCAATTGCCATACATGCCCACACCAGTTGGTCAAGGTAATGCAGAATACTCACCAAATCAACCACAGCTACCCCCAAATTGGGTGCCACCACCACCACCAGCGCCCGTTCAATGGCAACAATTTCAACAAGCCTTCGCAAATATGCAAAATATGCAGAACTTACAAAATCAAAACGGATGGCCTGCTAATCCTCAAGCTGGTGCTTTCGTTAACCCAGCTTTCTTCCAGCCACCCGCTGGTGCACCAAATGCAAATGCGAATTCAAACCCGAATCCGAATCAGTGGAATCAAAGATCAAGAGGAAGAGGAAGAGGCTCATGAAAATTGACCGATGATGGTTTGTAAATATATTGTACATCATTTGGCGTTTGTATACCGAGTAGAACGAGGACTTCCCTATCTCTGTGAAGAAAATGCTCGTGGATCTTGTCACGTATACATATGGATGTTGCACGCTGGCAGATACCAAATGGGAGCAACATTACAGTGGCTGAAGAGCTTGAGTTAATGATACCCTAAAATACCTTGCAATCAAGTGTTTCATTTAGGTAAAAGTTCAAATAATACAGAAAATTCGTTGATTCTTACTTGTTTTGCCTGCCCATTAATTCATGTTCTTGTGGTAAGATGATACAGCGGCAGAAATTAGGTGGAGTGGTTCAGCTTGTCAAACTATTTTAGAGCAATTCAAGTCCCAGTTGAAATAATTTAATTTGATTGTTTGAATACTACAACATGCAAATAGAATAGGATAACCACATATATGATCTGGCTTGTGAACTGCCGCTATACCGAGATACCGGTAGCATCATGGTGTTGTGGGACTCCAGTACCAAAAAGGGTTAATCTATCCACGACTCCAACACCCCCATCAATGGCGGGGCAACCCCACCATTTTGAGCTAATGGATTGACAGCAGTATCCTATATCACTCCATACATATCGATTTTCATTCCTGTATTGCCAATCTATATCCTTATTTTCTTGTCCCACCAAAGTCACACTTTCGAATTTCTTCTCCCATAATTATCTTTTTTATTTATTGAAGCAAAGTCACGATGGCGGGCAGTTTACTACAACAATGTCACCAAAAGACCACTGCATTAATCCAGAACACGTCACAGAATCCAAAGACCCTCGCATACGCTACTCCTTTTCTATGTCTTTGTTCGTGGCTTCTTGTTCGTCTTATTAAGTCGCTGAAGAAACCTGATAGTGGTAGACCTTCCACTCCGGATCTTGAGAAAGAGAAATCGACAGCGGGGGGAACTTCTTTCAAAGCTCTGCCTAGAAAACCAGGAGGTTCGTATCTTTTCATTTCATGAAATGATGGGATCGGATAACTGATGAGTTTTTACAGTATGGGAACCTGTAGAATTCCGCCGTCCATATGCTCGTCCAGCTCCAAACTGGAATGTCCACACCACCAAACCAAATCCTTACCGCCCTTTCAGACATGGACCATACCACATCACGATGGGATTGCGAAGCATGCCATGGGACGAATGGATCGGTTCGTCATTTCCCTTCCCTTCATCCCATATCCGGGATTAGGCGATACACAGAAGAAACTGATTTGGGAAAAACAGAACTAGATAACCACTACCTAAAATACCACGCCGACAAAGCCCAACGCATCATCGACCGCGGCCCAAAATGCAGCTACACCGACCCCTCCGCCTTCGACGGCGCCATCGAACTCCTCGAAGAATTCTGTGCCTACCTTCCCGAACGGTATCCCTCCCTGTACGCACGCACGGATGTAGGTATGAACAACCTGCTTACGGGCGAGACATTCAACATCAAAGAACGGCCGCTGGTGGAGGATCCTATGCAGATGGCTGCTAGGATGGTACAAGATGATTTGGCAATCATGTTTGAGAAAGAGGACGGCCAGTATTATTTGCTGGCGGGTAGTATCTTGCTCGCGGGCTTCTGGCGATTAGAGGATAAATTGGGGATGTGTTTGAGTGAGATTCATACCGAGGGAAATGTCCCGGGGTATAAGACGAAGTTGGAGAAGGGGATGATGAATTTCTTCCGGAGGGTACAACCTAATGGTCCTGTGCAGAGAGTGAGTTTCCCCCTTTTCCCTACCTCGCGTATCTTTCCTTTTCCCTCCCTCGCTTTTCTTTCCCCTTTCGGACAACCATGAAGCGACGTAAAGGGGCGTAAGCGAAACCCCTCATCCAGAATCTCGTCACACACCAACCCCCCTCCCACACCCACTAACCACGCCCACCCAGAACAACTACTTCCTCCAAGTCGACTCCTCCCTCCCCTGGTCCTCCTCCATCGGTCCCGAAGACGGCTCCCCCTCCAAACGCGGCTGGTACACGGCCGAAAAAAACAAAGCCATCGAGCACCACCACTTCCGCTCCGAGCGACAGACGCTGCGTCGTCTCCCCCGGAGCGGCGGCGTCGTCTTCACCATCCGCACGTATTTCCATCCCATCACCGAGATTTGCGAGGAACCGTATGTGCCCGGTCGCTTGGCGAGTGCGGTGCGTAGTTGGGGTGATGATGTGAGTCGGTATAAGGGGAAGGAGATGTATGGGGGGGTGTTGCTGGAGTACTTGGATAGGAAGCATCGGGAGCAGGTTGAGGGGGGGTTGGATTTGGGGAAGGAAGAGGAGGGG